TCTGTAATTTTTGGTGTTTGTGCCTCAGGGGACAGCATTCTGACTTTCTGTGTTTGCAAACGCATGGAGCAGAATCTTACTCCAACAGATGTGGTGCCAGTTTAAACAGAGACTTATAGGAGGGAGATGTCTCATCAAAGAATGCTAAATAGAAAATGTATGGGTAATGGCAAAGATGATGGTTGTCCTGCCCCAGGTTCACACTGAGCCCTCGGCCTCTGATCCATGTGTACATCTGAAGTTCACAACAGATTCTTCTGTGAGGTAATTTCTTACCTACTAGGTATGAAGAAGTAGGTATGTGTAGGTATTTTTTCTGGGCTAACTATGTCGATAACAGGAGTTAGCATGTAGTGCTGTGGTTGGAGTAGTCAGAGACTGATCATGCTGCACTGAAATCGTAATGCTATGCAATTTTACATATGCGTGGTCGTAGAACATGCTAATGAACACATTTATTTTTGTCTTTTGTCTTATAGTCTTATTTTTGTCTTATTGGACAAATACATCTTAACAGTCTTACGTACAAGATTTTCCTCCCTCAAATTGTGTGCAGTTGGTACGTTTGAGAAGTCCCAAAATGATTCTTTACCGTAAAAACTTTTCTTTGACTTTGATGGAAAACATCATGAGATCAAGGAAAAGGAAAAATTATGAGGACTTAGGAAATGACAAATCTGATTCACAGAGAATCCAACTGTACTTGGAGAAAACTCCTTAACGCCATGCTTAAGCTTGTTGAAACTACAATGTCTAAAAGACGGAGTACAAAATGTGAAACTTACTTCACCTTAGCTTTATTTGACCTTGTTTTATGCAGAACAGAACAACTCGTTTAAAAAAAACATCTCATTGCAAAAGTTGGAATTTTAAAGGAGGAACATATTAGGTCTGTTCTCATTTTGAGTGTTTAGAGCTGAGATCTACATAATTCTGCTCCTCGATGATACTGGTGATGAAACAGGGCTGAACTGAACTCTTTTCTCAGCAATATGTATGGACTGAATAAGTTTTCACCTGTTTCTGGTATCAGATCTGTTATAAACCAAATTGAAATGCCTCTCAAACCTCAGTGAGGACCACACAGTCTGCGGCAATTTCCTTATTAGCATGATTTTCATAGTTATCCTGTGTGTTTAATGGGTTTACAGTAGTAGTAGATGTGTAATATATTGCATGAAGTGGAAAATGCAAGTAGCATTTGCATGTCCTCGACTACTTTGTCAGTTATGTTGATGGTTTTCATGAATGTTCGGATAGTGCTTTGCTGTGAATTGAGGAATGGCATTATCTTGACTCTTTTCATAACGGATGGCACACTGTATCTTCAGCTAAAGAAGGCAATAAAGGAGCCGCTGAAGCACTTTTCCTTATTATTTGGAGATTTTCTGGCCATTTGATACAAAAACTTGAAAAATGAAAACCCATATAAAAAATGCTACCACAATCCTGAGAGAGAGGCAAACTTTTCTTTGTGTGCAGGAAAACCTTGTACTATTGACTATACTGTCATCCATTTGGCTGTACGTGCACTCAAAATCCAAATCCAAGAGTGCAGGCTCTGTAACACTGAGACCTAATCAAAGAGCCCAAAATAGAGGAAGCAGATGTGCATGCATACACCCACACAAATCACAGATAATATAGTGACACACAGGCAGGATTATAGTCTGTACAAGAACAATACATACATGAAATCCCTACAAAGCAAAAGCAGCACATTTGAAGCATCCCTAACGATGTGAACATTCACCTGCATTCACAGTAAATGCCATGTTGTTTCGAAATGTGTTTTCTATCAATTAAAGTCAAGACATGCTGAGTTGCAATAATGAATATTTATGAGTTGTTTCCAGGGCGATGTTGCATAACTTGGAGCTGTTTATTTTGGTCTCTGCTGGCCACACATCCAGCATCATGACAGACTTAGAAAATGGATGCACACTGTGCCGTTTGAAGGATAATTAGTATAAAACATTTTATTTTCTGTCACACACTCTTATCTCGTTGCTTTCCTTCACACTTTGTTTGCTTGTTATTGTTCTACATATCTTTTGCACCTTTTCCCCTCCTACCCACACAGTGGGATATACTGAACTGGCCAGGGTTTAACCAGTCTGTTGTGCAGCTTCGGAAAGGTTGCACTTCCAGTCAAACATAAACGGGTTAAGTAGTGTAACGGGAAAAATGGGCGGTGATCAAACACAGCCCCTATCCAGCCTTGTCTTATAGCCCTGTTCTTTTTCCTATGTAATTTTTCACCTGCCTATTTTCTTAACTGTTTGTCCAATTAAGACTCCCTGGACAGGTCAGCAGTCCATGACAGGGTTAATACATTTGTTCTGTTTTTTGGCAGCTTTTTACTGCCTTTATTCCATGTCCATCTGATCTTTCAGCTTTGGCTCAATTTTGTTTTGTGTCCATAGATGTAGGCAGTCTATTCTCTTGCATGCAGTGAGGCATGCAACTCGTATGTGCACATCCATATTTGACACTCAGTCTTTGAAGCAGCAGTTTATTTGCAGCGGGTAGCAGAGTCAAAAATTTGTTTAACATCTAGTTTAACAACCTGTGTATGCGCTGCTCTTGTTCATGTTTGTGCTGTTTTGGTCCTTTAGCTTAGCCCCAGAAACGGGGAAGACGGGGATCCCTTTGTAGTGGAGTGAAACCTAACGCTGAAAACAGTTAAAACGGTCAGCCGTTGTCTGCACTTCTCATTAGGCATTGCATTCTGCACAGGTGGAGGAAAAAAGGCTGCTGGTGCTAGCACTGCTGACATTTGCCTCCTTAGCAGACTAATGTGACATTTGTGTGTCTGTGTGAGATTAATGCTTAGAAATAACCTAAGCTCATCCATGAAGCAACCCTACCACTTGTCAGTAGTTTTTTTTCTTTTCTTTTTTTCTGTTCTTTTAAAATCTTTGGTATGGATGCAAAACAAGGAACAGAAGTCTGGCTTCATGCAGTATGGCAGCTCTCATACAGGAGCAAAACCTAAACATTATTCTCTTTCCTTATATTGCTCTTGTGGGTCTGGACAGGCTTCCTCTCTTTGTGAAGTTAGCTCGCGTTATATCATCACCTTTTATCAACCAGGTGTACATAAAGACATCTGCTCTAATGCAGGCTGTCTCACACCTCACTCTGCTAACCATTTCTTTCTTTTCCTGATTAGCAGTAATTTTAGTCTCAGGCTGAGAATGGATGTACACGCCAGCATGTAAACGTGCATGAAAAACACCTGAACAGAGGGAAAAATACCCAAGTCATGATTGATAACGAATAAGAAACCACACAGGCTAAGAACTGGATGCTGAAACATTCGTTCGTGACCTATTTGTATTCATGGCCTAACTGCTGATATAGAAAACACTAAAAATCATTCTACAAACACTTAAGAAAATTCTTTGGCATTCTCTGTGCTAAACGCTGTTCACCAGGCTTTTAAGTAAAGTAACGTTGTCATTGTAGAATAGCTGCAGCACTTTACAGGATTATTGATTTTATTTGAAATTAAACTAATACATAGTGTAGTGTTGAAGGCTCAAGGTTTATTTTTTTTAATATGCATGTTTCAATGATAGGGAAACACACACATGGGCACGCACACACACACCCAGTGAGTTGTTTTTGTCATCTTCTTAGAGATGTTGAACTGTAACTCCGGGGAGACTTGCAGCTGAGTCCACACGGAGCTCAGCAGGTTATCAGTTCCTCCCACATTTCCTGTGTTTGTTACACTGTAGGTCATTAATAAACAGTCGCATGTGTTTGCAGTCAGATGAAGTGCAACCAAGTTGCTTGAAGATTCCTCATTTATTGTGTTTTTTTGTTTTTGTTTGTTTTTTTTTAAAAGCATTTAGGACACTGACAACTAAAGCAGTGCATCAAGGAGTAATGAAAATATTAGAGACAAGTGTCAAGGCAGTGAGTCTGTAGTGTGTGTCCTATGTGCAGATTTTTTTTTTTTTAGTTTTGATTTAAATATGGGTCAGATCTCTTTCATATTTGATAAGTAGCATGTAATTTGGTAAAATAAAAATCAAATAATGTAGCATATAAAGCATAAAAAGCTGCTTTTAAGCTAGAATTTACTGTAATGAAATTTGTTATTTCAAATGTAAAAAATATACTTTTGTATTCATAAATGTAATGGTGGTTAGTTATTTCCAGCTGAACTGGTCATTCATTTTGTCTTCATTTGTCAGCAGCTGAAAGAGCTAACCTCTGCTGCGTATCAGCTGACATGTGGCTGAAATTATATTTGTGCAAACCCGGATGAGGGCAGGGAGAGATTCAAAGAGATTCTTTCAGTTTCTCCTTACTTCAGTGACCACAGAAGAGCAGCAAAGTGTCGTCGGCCTCCTGTCACCTTTGCTTCAGCTCCCCACTATGTTTGTTTTTCATTACTGAAGCACATCCTCGCGGGGTAGAGCCTTGTCAACACCCCTAGGGTTTGTATCGTCATGTGGAACCACAGATGATGTTTGTCATTCTGCCATCGCTGGTCTCCTCATTGTGTTCCTCCACACCTGTCCCATTTCCTGGAGCTGATGTAACTGCAGATTAATGGGGTTGGGGTTAGGTTTCTCCTGGGAAAATGTTTTTTTTGTGTTTTCATTATCATCTGAGTAAAATGGTTTCCTGCAGATGTTTGTTGCAGTGATCCTCAACCTGCTGACCTAAAGAAATTCAATAGTTTATTAAATATTAATGTAAAAAAGGTAAACCGTAAATATTTTAGTTTTATTTTCCAAAAATAATGAAATATTAACTTCCTAGTGGGTCAGAGTTTGTTTGTAATGCCCATCTTTAATTAATTTCAAGCACGAGTCCCTCTGTACACCTTTCTTCACCAAATGTTTTTGTGTGCGTGTTAGCTATGGTTACAGTAACCCTTCTAATTTCACTGTGGGGATGAGCAACCGACTTGTGAGGTCTAATGGAAATCAAAGCAGAGCATAAAGAAGTAAAGCTTATCTTATTCCTTCCTCCTGTAGGGAAGAGGAGGAGAGCCTGCGGGATAAGATCCGTGCAGACCACGAGCGAGCACTGCAGGAGGCAAAGGAGAAGCTGCGAAAGTCACGTGAGGAGCTCAAGGCCGAGATTCAGACGGAGAAGAACAAAGTGATGGAGGACCTGAAAAAGAAGGACGTAGGGCCCAAACCGTTGCCGCCGGTACCCATGCCTAAGGTGGTGGGCGTGAGCGACGGCGAGCCCCCAGAACCCGACGTCAAAGAGAAACGAGACAAGATAAGAGAGGTAACGTGATCAGTCTCTTCTTGCTTTTCTTGATTTGATTCATTTTAAATAAGAAGTCAATCTCTGTTTCTCAACCCCCCAGTGAGAGCAAAAACAAAAATGGCCTTCCCACGCAGGAAAGGTGAAAAAAAAAATTAAAGTGCACACCAGTGATCTAGAAATTCAGATGAAAACAATTTCAAGCCCTTTTGCTTTGATATGGTTATGTTAATGCAGCAAAAAGAAAGAGCTCGTTTTCATATTCATAGCTTATTAGACTCAGCTGTTACATACAGTTAGTGCTTGTTTTCAGTTCTTTGACAGCAGCGCTGCAAAACATTTGCACTTTTAATCACATATTACCATTTTAAGCAAATACATCTTATCTTAGTTTTTGCTAAAGATTTTATTTGCAGGAAATGGAGATTTGTTGGTGTGTTGAGAAACGCAGGTGCCATTGTATGCGTTTGCCAGCATGGGACCTACAGTATAATACCACTTATGATATTATATCCTTTCACTGTGGCAGCTTTGGTTAACATAGTTAAATCAGTGCCATTAAATCCCATGAAGCCCAGTCTTGCAGTAAAGTGCAGGATTGGTGTGTGGTGTATGTGCAGCCCAGTGAGTCCTCCTCTGTACTGTATATTTGAATACTTTTTCTGTTGCCTGTCTGCATGAGCTCCAGCTTTTATTGAAAGCAACAGCGAGCCAGACGGACAGTGCACGTGCAGAATGCAGATGGTGCTATCTGGTCCCGCTCTCTATGCCAGGCCCAGCGTATCTCCCTCTCCGTGCTCCTCTTCCTTTCTCACCCCCTGCAAGTTCTCCTGCATAATTGCCTCGTATCGTCTCCCATGAAACAGCACTTGGAGTCAAAACACTCATGGCGTATGGGAGCCCATTCACTCCAAACCCGCCTTTGTCTGTAAAGGCCCCTTTTTGTTCCTTTCATAATTACCATTCAGAGAGAATGCCGAACACTCCCAAATGAGCAAGAAAGTAGCAGCTGTATGGGCTACGGCACAGTACACTCCCCTTTTCCTGATTGCCTTGTGATTCCAAGGAGAAAGTCTAATCACACTCTGCAAAACAATTGCGGCTGCGAAGCTGGAGCTTTTTCTTTTTTCCTCTTTTAAATCCCGGCTACAGGCAGCCATTTGGCCTGCATTTTGCTGCCATGAATTCAAGTCCAAAGGGATGTTTCAGCATCCATCTTCTTGTCATTGTTAATTTTGTATGTAGACAGTCAGCAGCCTGTTACCACCCAGATTACATGGCGTTATTTCAACCGCCTGACTCTTTTTCTGACAGTGTTTCTCCTGCATCAGTTTTGAAGTTATTTTGATTTGCTTCAAATTGACATCTGCGCTCAGTCCGTGGCTGCGAAGGATCACTGATTGCAAATGATTGTTTCCGGTTGTATAATCAGTTTGGATTGTTTGCTGGGTAAGAAGTTTTCTGGTGGTCTCAAAACTCAAGCAACCACTTATAAGAAAATAAAAGTTTCTTATTTTGTAGTTTAAAAATATATTTGTTGAAAATGTTACGTAAAGCAGTTTTACCCCGGTTCTTTTTTTTATTCCTCAGGCCTCCAGAGACTGCACCGGACTCTGTAGTCATTTCACAAAACCTTTATTCATCTTCAGTTGCACATGCACCTTCTAAAGGGGAGATGTACAGGGCCGGTGTCCCTCTGCAGATCTTCACTTCTTTGTTTGTTACAACCAGTTTTATAGAAGCGACCCCATCGTAAAACCCACACAGTGTGTTGTAAATTCTGTGTTTGTGCGTACCTGTGTGTGTATGTGAGTGAGTGTGCGTGTGGGTGTGTGACTTCTTGTCGGTCATAAAAGTCCATCTCCCCTCACCCAAGCTACACCAAATTCCTCTGCAAAACATAGAAAACATATTACAAGCACTGAGACCCCCACTCTGCATCCACTGGGCCATTGGCCTCTTGTCATCTTACTTTTACAGCTGAGCATGTGGAGAGTCTCCTGCAAACCTACTTCTAAGTTATGACAGTTATTAGGGCAGGGCGATATGGCCAAAAATATTTTTCACGATATATATTTGAAAATTTG